GTGGCCTGGGGGTTGGGGACCCCTGTTATCAAGAACTCAGGTCATTCCACCCCAACAGAGGACATTCTTCCACATCAAAAACCTCAGTATGTGGAGCTTGCTGAAACCTAAGCCCTTGCCCCAATTCCCTCCAGACTGCTAAAAAGGAGGTTCATAGCCTGCTTTTTAAGCATTAAGGCCACAGGTATGACTGCTATGTCCATACATGCACACTTATCTCTCCTAGACAAGCTGTGACCTTGTAAATGCCATATGCCACTCATAAGCCCACATCTGAGCAAGGTGCACACCTGTACATGGGAATGACTTCTGTTTCAAACGTTAGAGCACCAGCTTTCTCTACTTCATCTAAACAGGTCACCAAAAAGGAAACTTTTTGGGTCTTCGCCCATATTCAGGGAGTACAAAGCTGTCTGGAACAGATCTGATGTTAATTACCCAGTGCTTTACACTGGAATAAGTGGTTAATCCCAAGGAGGTTTACATTGGATGGAGACTGATCAATGTGCCCCCGCAGGGATAGGCTCCAGAGACGATTCCACATCATGTGTTGTGCAAATGCACACTGGCACAAGGACTGGACTTCATTCCCTGGCAGATGGGATCCTTCCTGTGCAGGCCTACTCCGAGATAATATATGACCCGAGTACTAAACGGTCTAGAGTTTCCTTCTGTTCCTGAAATGCATCAGTTTTCATTCTCATACTGAACTTCCTCCTTTGCTCCTTTACCTGCTCTTGCCCTCTTTCAAATCATGGCCTGGAAGCTTGTTCATTTTATTCCCACAGGACCAACACGTTGACCTGCAGCTTATCCAGATGTCTTTCATTAGTTTTCATTCTTAAAATAGTTGCTGCAGCAGATTCATGGGGTTGATAGCAAACACTGTACAGTGAGGAAGAATTTATGCTATCCTTTCTTTTCTTCAAGGTTACTACTTTAGAGTTTTCCTTTAGTATCTTAGACATGGCTTAATAAGCTGTCAGAGGAGGTATAAAATAAATAATTTTAAATCTGGGATGAAAGGATTTCCAAGATAAATTTAAAGAAGTCAGATAACAAGCAAAAATTTTTCTTTTTCTTCATGGTAATTGCATTCTTTATAAATTTGTGTCTGGGGCAGGAAAGAAGTTGAAAGTATTTTCTGCACACACATTTTCTTTTTTTCTTGATCCCAGTAAGATAGAATAGGTGAAGGTCAAGGGCTGGGGAGTAGATAGTGTATGTTGAGTATTTTTGTGCCTGAATAATTTTAAAAAACATTTTGAAATCAGGACCAATTTTCTTTAAAAGCATATAGCTTTAGAACCTTATAGCCCACATACTTACATTGCAAATGGCATTGTTATAAAACTGTGTGGATTTTCGCATAGGAAATATATAAAAACAAACTTTTTTCATTTGACATTTGATGTCGAATAAAGATATAAAGTCCTAAAAAAAACTTTGTCTCTCCCCTTGTTCCTCTCTAAATCTTTTGTCCCTAGCAAATTCTTTTTACTGAGTTTATTCACCTATTTCACCTCCTAAAAGTTAATAAGCATAATATTCTTTAATTAAATTAAGTAGGTATTTATTCTGTACCTACTATGCACTAGATATATATATAAGGTTGAGGAAGCATAGGGATATAATGAGAATAAAAGAGATACAAGATATGTTCCTTGCTCTTGAAGAATTATAATTATTAAAGACCCCACATACGTACATTTTTCTGAGAGGCAGTGTAAATAACTCAGAGGAAGGAGAGAGAGAGTTTGACTAGCACAGTCAGATAAAACTTCATGAAGGAGGTAGAACTTGAATTGGCCCTGACAGGTAGAGGAGGGTGCCCACCTGTGCACAGCTAGAGGAAGGTAATCTACCTGGTGGAAAGAGGAACACAGGCCAAAGGACAGACGAGAGAGCAGATAGAGCAAGCCTCTAGATTTCTGTGAAACCATCTCCATAATACATTGTCCCCAAGTAAAACTCCTATTGTCAACCAAGCCCATGAGATCTCCTAGACATATGAAGCTTTAGTGAAAGATGCCCTCACTATTCTTGAAAGAACCATTGTATTTATAGATAATAGAAAGTAAAGCTTTGACACAACCACAAGAAGCCAGAAAGGAACTGCCTTGCTATCACTTTCTCGAATTTGGACTGCATGTATTTGTAAAGGACATAAACACCAAAAGGGTTTTTGCTGTTGTTTTTCTTGCCTCCCTAATGGCAAGATGTAAAATGCAAACATTTTACTAAACTACAGTTAATCTTTCCCATAGGTATAGAGCAGGATCACTCTTTAACAAGGCACAGACAAAAGGGCTGTTTACCTGGGTTTACAGATCACCAAATCCAATTCATCCCAGTACATTAAAGTCATAGCTTCTGAAGACACATTAGTACCTTTATATGCATAGACTTTTGTGTTTATCTATTTTGGTCTTTACCCTCATGAATTTATCCAAGAGTCTGGAGGTAATTATAGCCAATTCTCCATTGCTCATGATGACAGTATGCAACAGTGACATGGAACATAAGAAGCGGGGAAAAACAGCCATTGTGGAATTATATACAAGCCCCAGACTAACTCCCATACTAACCTTAATCATTATAACAACCTAATAGGAAAATTAGCTTGCATTTCCTAAGCAAACACTGACTGGTTACAAAGAGGTCTATTTTGGTTTAAAATGAGGAGATACTGTCACTTCAAGAAATGTTTTCTAACACTGCATCTTGGTACTATCACTTATTTCATTTTCCCTCCCAATCCTCTACATTCTGGAAATAATGTGCTAGTGACTTATACGGCAGTGCCTGTAGTTAAGGTTTGAAGAAGAATCAAGATGTGTCGATACCAGATTTTGTCATATTGGTGAAGAAACATCAAAGGCAGTAGTTCCCTGTATTTCATCACATACTTGTTTTCAAAGAATTCGAATGTACCTTCAGACGGGAGACAGGTGAGAAGTGAAAGGGAGCGGGCAAGAAGGCTCAGCAAGTCTGAGAACAGCACAGTGTATTTGCCGACGTGACTGCTGGTGCCCAAATCCCCTCTACCATTTCAGAGCTGCTCAGCTCCAAACCCTGTTGCTGTTGGGTCACAACAGGAAAAAGATTCCGATGATTTTCGCTTGTTCCTTGCTTGACATTCTTCTGTGTTTATGTCTTTTTTGATTTTTTTAAAACCAGCCAGTGTCATTGTGTAATAAGAAATATCAGACAGTCTTAGGACATGGAAGTAATGTTGGGGGCAGTCTCCCCTCACTGGCTCTCTCCTGAGAAATACTAATTTGTGTGTAGCAGCATCTCTTATCCTTTATACCCCCCGCCCCACACACACACAAAGATGGAGGCTTGCTAGCTGAACTTCACCCTTCAATGCTCTCATTCTCTCATCCACAAAGGCAGTGCAATCAACTGCTGCCTTGTGATTTCTGGCACTCCCAGAGGAAAGGAAACAGAGGCACCATGTTATGGAAAGGCTTTCCTAGTTAGGCCTTAAATACAAAAGCATCATGGTTTCTCTTCCTCCCCAATTACCACTCCTTCCCTAGTTCCCATGCCCATTTGCATACAGCAGGGTTGGCCAAGCTTCCACATCCTGGAGGAACACATCCTGCTCTCATACAAAAGGAGACAAGAGTAAACTAGGTCGGAGTAGGCTGCGCAAACCTGAGGCTTGGCCAAACGGGTACCTGAAGCAAGGCACCTCCAACTGCTCCCTCAGACAGAGGGCTGGGGTAATAACGTTGTTGACATTTTAAGAGCATAGCACTTGCACTTTATAAGTCTTGTTCTTATATATTCTCATTCAATTCTCAAAATGGTTTTGTTCCTTTTTCTGAAAGAAATTTAAGTTTCAATGAAGCTGTTAGCTGACCTCATAAATGATTAAGTGGCAGAGCAAGCTAGGATTTCAATCAGCTCTCAATTATCTCTTTAAGTTCATTTTACTTTATAGACCCCTGAAGCCACCTCACATATAAAAAACAGTGGGAACTGACTTGAAGAAATTAAAGGGGATCAGAACATGACTAAGACAGCAGTCAAGTTCACACGAGTCGGACTAAGAGCTGTTTACATGTGTGATCAAATCCCCTTGTTTCCTATAAGCGGCTAGGAATTGTCAACCTTGATGAAAAGTACTTCTTGGAAAGATTCTTCGATGCCCACTGTATAGAGGGAAAACAGTCCCAGGTTCCTTAGTCTGCCATGCCAGACAGGCCCCCTCCCATCCGACTCCACGCAGCTGGCTTCCCAGGCTCTCTTGCCATTCTCTTCCTGCATGCTGTGCTCCTACTGTGCTGCACCACTTACAGCTCTCCATGTCTTTTTAAAAACTGGATTATGTAAAACATGCATAACAAAATTTATGATCTTATCCATTTTCAAGTGTACAGTTCAGCAGTGTTGTGTATACCAAATACTGTTGTGAATACCTCCTGAACTTTTTCATCTTGCTAAATTGAAACTGCACCCATTATACAACTCCCCACTCCCCTCCCTCCGACCTCCCACAACCACCATCCTGTCTCTATGAGTCTGACTGCTCTGGGTTCCTCAGATAAATGAAATTATGCAAGATTTGTTTTTTCTGACTACTGTCTCTACACACATTGTTCATTGTTTCCTGTCTGAATATCCTCCCCATGCCTTCACCAGCTATTTCTAATTAACCCTTCAGGAGCCAATTTAGATATCATCTCAGGCTTTCCGTGGTCCCCTAATCTCAATTAAGTGCTTACTATATTGTACATTAATCACACACAATTGGAGCTGTCTGTGTTCTATCTCCTTGATAAAAGTTCGGGCCTCTTAATGACTTGATAAAGTGTGGTGGAAGAGCTGCGTTCTCCTTGCCATGCACCTGGGAGCTTGTTAAACATGCAGCATACTAGGTCTTTAATTAGATCCCAGGTAAATCACAGGCACATTTGAGTTTCATAAGCACTGTTCTCACCAGACAAGGGGTCTGCAAACCACTCATCAGCCAAATCTGGCCAGGTGCCTGTTTTTGTAAATAGTTTTATTGGAACACAGCCACAGTCATTTGTATATGTATTGTCTATGCTTTTATGCTACACTGGAAGGGCTGAGTAGTTGCAAGAAATCACCATATGGCCACAAAGCCTAAAATATTTATTCTCTGGCTCCCAACCAAAAGTGTGCTGGCTCATCTACTAAACCATAGGTTTCTTAAAAGTGAGAACATGGTCTTATTTTGCTTTGTAAGCATACAGACTAGTATAAGTTATGATACAGGCTTGAGGATGGACTAACAAGATTTACGGCTGGTTCTGCCATTTCCTTGCCAGTGATTATGGGCAAGTCACCTCTCTGTGCCTTCTTCTGTTCCTCACCTATAAATGAGGATATATAACAGAACCTACCTTACAGGGTTGATGTGTGGGTTAAAAAAATTAATGTATGTGAAATGCTTCAAGCAGCCCCTTCAGCAAATGTCACCTCTTAGCTAGTACCAGGTATTTTTAGAGTATCATGGGGGATTCGCTGATGTTGGTAGAATGACCCCTGTAACAGACACTGTCTATAAATACCTATTCTCTGCTCCTTCATTGCTAACATCTAATGATTTTTTTTAGGCCAATGAATCATGAGAAGATTCTTGAAGGGCTTCTGGGAATGGTTTCCTCATTCTTTAAAAAGAAAAAGAGAGATGCCCCTATTCTTTCACAGATACTGTTTTGTATAAATGTGATGCCCCAAACTGCAGAAACCATAAAGGTAGATGGTCTGGGAACAGTCACAAGTTCACAATGGCAGAGCAGAAAGATGAAAAGAAAAAAAAAATCTGGGCCCTTTATGAGGTCAAAATTGCTGAATCCATCAACCCTGGGGGCTTACCTACTCAGCTACTAATTTTATGGAAGGAAATAAATTCTCCTAGTAGTTTTAGTCTAAAGCATCCTAACTCCTACTGCCAAGGATCATGTTTACACATATTTTTACTCCACCCAGAACCTAACAACTGTAGTTGGGTGCAATGAAGAAAGGGAAGAGTGGTAGTAGGAAAATGAATGGATTGGGTAGGGCAAAAAAAGGATAAAAAATATGTAGGTTATAGTGCAGGCCCAGTTCTTCATTGCCTTTTATCACTCTAAGCTGGAAGTATCTTTTCCTGGTACCTGTGGCTCTCTCCCAAATGCTGATCTCCCTTGTTGTCTGAACTTGTTACCCAAGTAACAAGTTGGCAGGTTATTTCAAAGCCAGATGGGTTTTGATTATTTCCTTGGAGATATCCATTATTTCCCCTCTGGGTAGAAGGAGGGAATGAGGACAGCTTATCTTTTTGGGGCAGAGAGAGTACAGGTGTGGTCTCTTATATAACATTAAATACAAAGAAGTCTTCTTTGGTTGGAAGTGTCAAAAGATTCCGTAGAATTTATAGCCACAAGGATTTTTCTGGTGTGTCGGTTTATGTACTGGTTTTGTACCACTTCTGAGTCAGAAGTAGTAGCAGAGATTTGAAGCAGTATAGGTAGTTATGTACACATGAGGATAAAGCATGGGGAGAGATGGTAGAAGTCAGGACTCCACCTGTCCAGAAGAGCACCCTGGCCCTACATAGAGGTAAAGGATTAGCTCCAATAAGTCGGCTGGACTCTCTGCAATTCCTCACCACTGCACTCACCAAAGACAGCCAAGCTGAGATCCTTCTGCCTGCGAGAGTCTAAGGTAGATGCTTGTAGAACTTTGTAGCCATAAAATCAGTTAAGGATCAACTTCTAAGGTTAGATGGCTCCAGGAGACAGGATTTCATTCATCTCCTGGTCTTTAGGCAATAACACGCCTAAAGCCTCACCATTACAGCAGCACACATTTTCTGGTTAAAAGCCTTGGGGCAGAGGAGGGGTAGTTCTTGGGAGTGTATGGGGGAGTAAAAAGATTTCAGGACTTTCTTCCACAAACCACTTTAATTGTGTGTACGCCACCTACTTCAGTGTTTAAGAGAAACTTGACATTTGTTTTAGACACCCGTTGTCAGTCTAACCCTCCTCCAAATGGGAGGATCCACAGGCCAGTGCTAAAGGATGAGGGGTCAGCAAAGGTCTCGCAGGCAGTAATTCCCTTTAAACTGTTTTTGTCAGTTATTCACATGCATTTAATGTGTAGCACTTCCCTTATGACTGTCCCTCTGCCTCCTTCACTACCAACACTTTCTCCTAATTGTTCCATTTTTCTAATAGACACTGCCGCCTGACATGGCACCTTTGACTTCATCACTGATGTTTTTAAAGACCAATTAGATCGATTAAGAACAGAAGTAAAAAGCTTTTTGTGGGCAATCAATTTCCTGCAAGTTTGCTAATATTATTGGATCTGACTAAAAGTTCCCTGCTGGAGACTTGTGAAGAGAGAACTCTGTCATTCCTGGGATTCCTACTGCCTGCGCATTCTCGGCAGTTAGAGCAAGTGTTTCCCTTCCCCTTGGAAGCACTTAACTAAACATGAAAATTGATGTGCGATCTTGTTGAAAGAAGACAGAGAGGAGGTCACAAAAGACAAAACTCAACTGCTCTTGGGGAAGGGGTTAGGAACAAAGCTAATAAATAAAATCCTTGGTGTGATTTTCTTTCAGAAAAGGGTATAGAGGGGCAGGTGGATCTACCAGAAGCTTTGGCAGTCTGCTTTGAAGTCTTCTGGACAGGAAAAGTGCAGCCACCATGACATTCTCTATAGGGCTCATGTGTTGGAAAACAGCCAATGCGCAAGAAGTCCCTTAAGAAATATTTCCCTTTCTTTCCTGGAATTGTTGGGAAACTAGATAGAACTCAGGGGTCTGGCTTTCAAGAGTGGTCCTCAATGAATCCCCAGTTTCCTGGTGGGAACAGAGAGCTCAGAAGATTGTCTTCTCCTCCAAGGAAATTTGGCTCTTTTTTTCTTGGTCTATCTAGAGCTTGCGTGTTGGTAGATTAGGTATACGTATGCACAGGGCCAGGCCATTGGCGAAAAATCTTATGAGGAGTACAAAAAGGGCTCCTTTCTCCACTCACGGATTCTTTTTCCAAAGAACAGGATCTACCCAACCCACTAGCGACACTTCAAACACCACAATAAAAGGTATGGCAATGGACATGCATGCAATCGGTACATATATCCTCCTATCACCTGCTACAAATGGAGGAGAACTGAGGGGAGAAACTGTGCCACTGAGACCCATGTCTTCTGAGCTACAGCCAAGATCCAAGGCACAGGCTTCCTGACTGGTTGGTGTCTGGGTGGTGGAGTAACGCTCCTTTCCTAACCTTCGAAGAACAGGTGAATAACCTATGGTTAAGGGAAGACGCCCATCCTCTTGGGGTTGCCTGTGGTATCTGAGGCAGAAGTGGTCACTGTAGATTCCTCAACTGAGGCACTGAGATCCAAGAATTCCAGGATGACGTCCCAAAGGCAGTAAATCAAATGCCTGAAACAAATGGACAAAACAACTTAGAGGAAGGTCTAGCTCAGTCAAGGGATGCTAGATCACATTTATGACATTTGTTTTCCCTCCCCCCATCCTCCATTACTGATATAACCTGATGAAGCCTCTGATGCGGAAGAAAAGTCTCTTGAATTAAAAAGGGCTATGACTCCAGTAAAGGTAGAAATAGTACCAAAGACTAAATTTTTAGGAAATTCCATATTTGTTTATATAGCTATGTTAGCATATCAGAACTGCTCTAAAGAACAGTGAGGGAGGGAAAATCCCTGTGATATCAACTTACTAAGAATTTTCAGAGCTTCTGATTACTGCTGTTTTTCATAATTAATCACTCTAGATTTCCAGACAATGAGGCAAAAGCCAGGACGGTTGAGGAATGAGAGCTGATAGATGCCATCTGCTTTGGGACAGAGTTTGAGAGAGGAGTGGAGATACTAAATACTTTTCAGAGGCATTCTAGCCCAAGGTAACAGCCAGTGAATTATTCTAGGAGTATTCACCCAGCACTTCTGGTTACTTTGTCAGACTCTACCCTCATTATCTTATCTACCTCATATTAAACAGAGATAATCTCTAACACTAGCACTAATCACAGCTTTGCCATGAGGCCATAAGCCTACAGCTTAAAATCGTTATATGGCCTGTAATGGCCAGGTCAGGGAATGTTCTCGGTGTTCACAAGGACTGGCAGATGCTAGAAAAAACCGTTAAGGATAACAAAAAAGCCTGGAGGGTGACGGCATTTTCGGGAGTTCATGTGGGGGCCAGCATTGAGTTCTTCCAAATGTAAATAAGAGGCTGGTCCAACATTAGCTTATGACCACAGGACCATCTGCACAGGAGCCAGTAGCATAGGTTTGAGTGTGTGTGTGTGTGGACCTGGACATCATACTCTGCAGTCAGGGCCCAGGGCAAGGAAAGACTGTGTCCTGTGTGGGCTGTTCACTTAGAAACCCTTGGCACCTCTGAGACCAGAGATGGCTTGAGTTATGTTGATATTGGGTGCTGTTGGGCTGTTCACTTAGAAACCCTTGGCACCTCTGAGACCAGAGATGGCTTGAGTTATGTTGATATTGGGTGCACACTTTTCAGCCTACCTGTTGATGAGGGGTTGCTGTAATGACTCCAAGACTAGACTCCAGCTCAGCTGGCATTTGTTCACCCCAAGGATTTCTACTAGGATATCTGAAAAGGAAAATATGGATGCAGTTTTAGTGTTACCATAGAAGACTTAGATTCTATGGAGATTATCTCCTTATGGTATCTGCTATCTTTATTCAAATGGGTATTTCTGGCATACTTCTGAACTACATAGTCATACTAAAAATCCCCAGAAAACAGAGAAAAGTTAAAAAAAAAAAGTTTCTTAAATTAGGTGTCTAAATAAGAATGGGCCTCAGGAAATAATTTTGTAACCTGTCGCTAAAGCGCAGGTCCTTCTGATATAACAGCTGAGGCTAGTAACAGTAAGCGACCCTGTCCAGAGCTGAGAGTTCACTACTGTACCCTGGCTAACACAGCACAGCCACACAAACTGCCTTTCCTGCCCTCTAAAAATGGTACGAAGAACAAACCTTCTTCAGAGTTTGTTTTTATTTATTGTTACAGACCATGTACCTTACTCCAATTTATCAAGGCTGAGCTTCTGTAGGACATATATTTTCTTCCCTAGTCCCAAAGTCTACGAGTTGTCAGAGAACTCAACGTTTTCAACTGGTGGGAACAGTTCTGAGACCTGCCCCTGTTGTGTAGGCAGAGCTTCCCAGACCTGCCCCACAGCTACTACCCCAAATACTTGCAGGATCTCCACCTGCTATCTATGGTGTGGTCATAGTAATCTTTTCCATTCACTCAGCATTGCTTGGGTGAGGGGTAAAAAAATTGGAGCCCTGATCATTTTACTATTAGGTTGAGAATTGGTGGGTCAACAGATTTTTGAGTCTAACGACATTTACAGCCCTTTTAAAAATAGGGAAGGACATGGGGGTATTCTGATCCAGTAGCAATGCCGGATCAGAAGGGAATAGTTATTAGAATAACCGATTTCATTACCCAATTACCTGGCAGGACTCCCATGAGGCTCTGCAGAGCCTGTTTCTCAGTAGCCACCTTTTGCTCTTGGGTCCTTACAGGCTGTGGATACTTAGGTAAAACCCCACCAGGCCAGATGGACTCCTGAAGAAGTCGGAGGTACTGCACCCAGCGCTGTGGACACGTTAGATTAGCTACCTGCACCTCTAGCCACCTGTGGTGGAAGAGAGAAGGAAGGTCAGATAAATGTGAAGGATGCAACAAGGTGTAAATCATGGGAGTGATCAGAATAGGGCAAAGCTAAGTAGCACCAACTGTCACAAATCAAACCAAGCCAATTCAACAATTTGGGATCACAGAAACTTAGGATGAGTAATAATGATATTGTTATTTACTCAGTGTCCACTATGAGCCACACATCGGATTAGGGGGATTACAGAACACAACGCTAAAGGGGTCTTGGTCTCCAGGCAAGGCTAGAGGCTTTCTAACTCTCCTCCAGTGGGAAGCACTGTAACTGCTCAGTAATACGTACACATAGCCCATACAGTGAAGGGTTTGATGACTACACACAAATCCCTCTCTCTCACCACCTTGTCTATATCCTGTTGGTCTTCAAGTCCCCATGACCTGTCTTGGGCATATCCTACATCTGCCCTTTGCTCATAACAGTCCTCTCACTGACAAGGCCCTCTCCTTTCCAGTAGCAGAGGTCTTCCCTTCTGGCAAGACCTGTTTAACCCTCCCTCCTCCACAAAATCCTTGACCAATCCAGCTGGAAGTGCTCTCTCTCCCCTTAGACCTCCACTGACACCTAATTGCACAGCTTTGAAACTAATATTTTACTTTGGAATATAAGTTATTTTTTCATGTGTTTATTAAGCCTTTACTTTTCCAACTAAATTATAAGCACCACAAGAGTTCTAGATTTTACACTTCTAAAAAATTTCCTGCAGTGCCTTAGTGCTCAAGAAATGTTTACTGACTGGCAATTATAATGAAAATTTCCCCCTTTGTCTAAATTTCAAAAATGAGTCAATAACTCTGAAGGGGCATATATACCAAGTCTGCAGATCCTGCAAGGCATTTCTACCTTATTCTTTATCCTATTTTCGCATGTTTTCACAGTCATGTGGTCACTAGCTAAAATTCAAGACCACTGAGGCCTCCTTTGCATGTACTATGGTTGATACTGGCATGGCTGTGACTGTAATGGATGGACCATCAACTGCTTCTACTCATGGTTGGAAGGAAGACTCTTTGGTACAGCACCACATGGCAGCTCATGCCATTGCTCCTATACCCGAGTCACTTGTCACTCTTCCAAGAGCAGAGAGGGCTGCCAAGGAAAACTTTATTTAACCTCCACTCTGCCAGACAGTCTGCATTCCACTCAAGCTAGGCATTCCAGTGTTGGGGGCTGCAATTCCCCTAGTCCAGGGCTCACAAATGACTCTAAGAATAGTAAGTCTGAAAGGTAATGGCAGGGCAAGAATGGCAGACATTGATGGAGATCAAGAGCGGTACAAAGCTGCTCTTGCCCAAAATAGCCATCAAGATCGTATTAGTTATTATTAGGGCTGCATCTCCTTTTTATAGGGCTTCTCATTCAGTGAGTCTAAGATGCCTGATGAAAGAGATCCAGCCACAAGAATTCCTGTTCCTGTTTATAGAAGACGGTCACCAAAGGGGTTGGATGCAATGACCTGATCTGGTTCTCTGCAGGGAAGCAAGTGACCCAACTCTCTTACCCCAAGTTCTCTTCTTCACCTTAAGCCACATGTACTTGTTAACTTTTGCTAAATTGAATGATGAGTACTAGGGTGTCATCTAAGTGATCTGAGGTAGAAGGGCTAGGATTTGAAAACCAAAATCTTTAAGTCCTCCAAAGAGCCAGAATCCTAAACAAAAAACCTTTAGCTAGAATTAGTTCTATTCACATATATTTCATTCACATATACATACAATAAGCCAGTCTGCTCTTACTTTTGGAGCCAATAATGCCTGCAACTCAATTCTTCAAAGGTATCTTGGCATCCACTCAACCCTTCCTAGACTAAGCATACTATCCAACAGCAAATCTGGGTACCTTGGTCATTTTCTGTGCACGTCTCATAATATATGAGCCTGACTGTATTGAATTAATGTTAATTCACCTAATGGAAACAGGACTTTTCGCTGCACTATGTGACTTAGTGACTGAAGCATAGAAATGCACAATAAACTTTAGCATTTGGCAAACTAAGAATTTCTAAATTTATACATATCTACAGGACTACGGCTTAAACTCTAAGTGAGAATGTCAGGAAGAAGAATCAAACTATGATAAAGTAAAAATAAGCCCTTGATGATGAGGATGAGTCAGTGAATCAAACTGAGGTGTAGGATTTGACTAAGATAACAAGCAGAACTGACAAAGATGACTAAAATCTCCAAGTTAAATATCAACTGCTCATAAAGTATCACTGTCAAGTACTATAAACCCTGAGGCACAGAACTGATGTACAGAAAGCCCTAGAAGAGTCAGTCCCAGAAATATAAGAAATAGGACTTATGCAAACTGGCAGAAATAAAACAAACTTCACGTCTAAAAAGAGAAATATAGTTTAGAAAGTGGTTTCTATTTGCTAGGCGCTACAGTTTGTTTTCCTTATTCTTTTTCATACCCCAAAGGCAAAAGACAAAAATCACACATACTTGTACCACACAGATTTACACATTCCTTCTCTTCAGGATTCTCCTCTTGCCCAGGTTCTTCCCTCCTCTAAGAAAACAGAGGCTTTCTCCTGGATGTTAGCCTGCAATTAATCTGGTTTCATCCCTAGCCCTAGGCAGCCCATGGAGAAGACCAGGGCAGTAAATCTTTCCTGTTCACATAACTTCTGAGATACAGTATCTCTTTACAAATAATAAATATCTCAATCCGAAAGGAAAAAATGATCAAGCCTAAACCAAGAAAATCACCACCACCCCACCCCTACTACCATTGCTAAAACTTGCCTTGCCTTTCAGACAATACAAAAACTCTGAGCTGTAGAGCAATTTCTAAGGCACGCTTTATTATTAAATACAATGCCTTTCTTAAATTGTGAATGACATCTCATTTGCTATGCCCAACACCGAACATAGAACCAATAATTGATAAGAACGAAGAGGGCGGGGGTTTCTTCACTCAATGATCTCTTCTCTCCATTTTCTCTTTCTTTTATTCACAAAGTGAAGCTCCATACACACCACCAGTGCTTTATCTAACTTCATGAATTCTCTTAGTCCTGCTCAGTCTATTCTGAAA